TAGAGATGGAGAGAGACAGAGGGAGAGAAAACGAGAGGGATTAAAAAGGAGAAAGAGAGTGAAGAGCATTTACTTTGTATATATATATATATACATAAGTGCATACCTAACTGATAATACCAGGCTTTGCCCGGCCCATGTGAGAAAACACAGACATGTATGTATGTAATTAAATATATATTTTTAAGAACAGAATTTAGTTACTCGAATTGTGGTCATTTATTCTCAGGTATATAATGTACGATTTGGAAATGATATTGCCTTTATAAACCCGTGTGGTTCAGGACTATCGACTATTGCGAATCGAGAATTGGTTTTATTTTGAGAATTTTCAAACATTAAATGACCAAGTCTAGGGTTTTTAGGTCAAATTTTCGAATGATATACCATATTTGACTCCCATGAATTAATATTATCAAATAATGCCTAATCTTAAATGTAAAGGAAATGTTAAACTTTTGTTTTTGTGATATATCTCGAGTAAATCAAGTCCGAATTCGGAAAGATATACCATTTTATGCTCGTACAAGCTCCTACTTTCGATTGGAATTCAGAAAATCAAATTATAAATTTTGAAAAGTTATTATAAAAATGGCAAGGGGTAACATCACAATATTTGCAAAAATGGACTTGGTTTTGAAATGAAATGTTTTTGATTTCCGTCTGTTCTTCGTAGTTTAACGAGTCTAAGAACCCATATTTTTGCAAAATCGGATTATATTTAACTGAGTTATGAAGTTTTGTTGTTATGAAAAATGAATCTAATTGGAATATCTCGAATATATATTGTCTGATTAAAGATTAACCTCTTTCGATTCGTGGGATCATTGCTATTAATTGCCTTTCAAAACTTTCCAAATTAAATGCTGACTAACTTCGTCAAATCTAGTAAGAGTTTATTTAATATTTTTGATGTCATGCTGTTCTACATAGTTTCATCTTTACAAAATCGCAATTCATTAATTCGAGTTACACTCAGTTAAAGCTCTTCAGCCCATTGATAGAAGCTTAAAATCAATTTACACTTTTTTGTATTATTAACATTTTTTAATGTCTGGCCGCAAGCGCGAACAAATTTTTAATTGCGTTGACATGAAATGTTAAAAATGTTGAAAACATTTAAATTGTTGAAATTGTCGCAACACGAAATATTCGTAATAAATGTGCAGAATAATGGCATTAATAATGGCAATCTACACGAAACCAGCAGCAACAATAAAACGACCATAAAATGCAAGCAGCACATTCATAATGTGGAATACAGCCACAGACACTGTGGCTGACCGCCTCCCCGCTCACCTCCCCTCTCACCTCTCCGCGCCTCTCGTGTCCCTTAGGTCGGTCCGGAGTGCCACTCGATGTGTCTTAATTAGCATAAATGCTCATTGCGGCCTGCCCTGGCACTTACATAACCTCCGTCTATTACCCTCACCCAGCGGGCAATCGCAGCTGCAGCCAACAACTCCCCAACAGCAACAGCAACAGCAGCAGCAACATTTGGCTGTGCTGGTGTCACATGATTTAAATACTTTTATTGCACGTGCGGCAATCAATCAGCAGCAGAAGTAACAGCAGCAGCAGCAACAACAAGAGCAGCAACAATATCAGCAACAGCAGTAGCAACAGCAACAAAAAGAAATAACAACAACAGCAGCAAAAGCAGCAACAGCAACAGTAACAACAATGACAACAGCAACAGGAGTAGCAACAACTACATAACCTGCAGCAGCAACAAGAGTAAAAAGTCACAACAACAGCATCAGCAACAGCAGCAACAACAGCAGCATTAGCAGCAGCGGCAACAAACATATAAAGTAGCAACAACAGCAGCGCCAACCACAGCAACAATATGAGCAACAACAGCAGCAACAGCAGTAGGAACAGCAACAGCAGCAACAACAACAGCAACCATATCAGCAACATCGGCAGCAACAATAAATAGTAACAGAAAAAGCAACAACAACAGTTTTAGCAACACCAACAGGAGCATCAAAATCCACAACAGTAGCAGCAGTAGCAGCAGCAACAGCAACAGCAACAGTAACAGCAACAATAAGAACTAACAACAACAGCAACAGAAGTAGCAACAGAAATAGCAACAACAACAGCATCTGCAGCAGCAACAACAGCAGTAGCAACAACAATAAAAAGTCAACAACAACAGCAGCAACATATCAGCAACAGCCGCAACAACATCAGCAATAGCAGCAGCAACAACCATAAAAAGTAGCAACAACAGCGACACCAACAGCAACAACAACAGCTCCAACAATTTCCATGTCCCTTGATTAATTATGCGGGCACTCTTCAATTTGCTCTCACCCTTTTTTGCTCTCACAATTGTAATTGTAATTGTAACTGTAATTGCTGACACAATTAAAGGGAAATGATTGGGAGCATGTGGGCAATGTGTAACTCAGTTCGCATTATTACCTAGTACAAAGAATTTTTGGAATATATCGTTTATATACTCAATCTGAATATAAGTGAATGCAATTTGTAAATAGTTCTAATTGTTGCTTCCAAAATTGTTAAAGCACTTTAATGTGAAGCCCGCAAAACGTTGACGAATGCGACACAAAGAGGAAAGGCAAAGAGAATGCTCTCTCGAGAGAGTAAATGCAGGAGAACGTATCACACGACATGTTTAAAGTTGAGTTCTTCTAAAGAAGGCAACAATAATTCAATTTCAGGCTGGAAGTGGATCGAAAGCCGTAGAAGCTAGTCATTGCAAACTATATTTGCACTACAATCTAGGCTAACAGAGATAAATATACATATATGGAAGTCTTTATATAGTCGCAGAATTATGATTCACAGTTCCCTTATTCTACGAGGGAAGTTTCATTAAATTTGATAAAATAATGAAAATTGCTTTTAGTGAATGTCTAGTAAAAGTCGACTTCGAAGGAAGGTTTGTTTGATTCAGGTATTTGGATACATTTAAATTTGGCTGATAATTTGTTAAAAGGCTTACCAATAAAAAGAAAAAAGACAATTATTTTGTATTTTTTTTGTTCAGCTTTATTTGATGTTGACATTTGCGTATGCAATTTGACGATTAAGAAATACATAGTTTTGATTTTAGAATGTGTAATGCTTAGAGCTATGTACATACGATCAGTAATAGTCATAGATATATATATTTATGTGTGTACCATATATGTGTTATATATATGTATATGTATTATATGTATGCATATGTAAAACAGTTAGTAAAATTTTAAGTTAAGAAAACAAGCTTGTGGACTTATATGAATTTCTATGCAGCAAATGCAAAATACAAATACTACAAACCATTTATCGTGGTATATATATGAATATATATATATTTTAATTTGCACATTTATTGTGTTTATAGATTATAGATGCTTGTTGACGATATTAGAAAACTTTATAAAACTCGCTTATCGTTCGAATTGTCTTAAGCTAATCGATTTCTCATTAAGTTTATTTTATTTATTTATGTTTTTCGTATTGTAATTTTTTTGTTTGTTTTTATACCCTTGCAGAGGGTATTATAATTTTGTCGTGAAATGTGTAACGCATAGAAGGAGACATCTCCGACCCCATAAAGTATATATATTCTTGATCAGTATCAACAGCCGAGTTGATATAGCCATGTCCGTCTGTCCGTCTGTCCGTCTGTCCGTCTGTCCGTCTGTCTGTTTCTATGCGAACTAGTCTCTCAGTTTTAAAGCTATCTTTATGAAACTTTGCAGAAGTCCCTCTTTCTGTTGCACGCAGTTCATATGTCAAAACCAGCTGGATCGGACCACTATATCATATAGCTGACATAGGAACGATCGGTCGAAAAGTAGGTTCTTGTATGAAAAACATTTTTGTTTACTTTATAAAGTTATCTTAACTGAACTTGGTATTTAATAGTTTTACTACGTTACCCATATATATGCAAAATCCCATTAAGATCGGACAACTACATCATATAGCTGCCATAGGAACGATCGGTCGAAAATTAAGTTTTTGTATGGAAAATTTTTATGTTTTTCAAGATATCTTGACCAAACTCGGTACTTATTAGTTTTACTAAGCTCCTCATATATATGCAAAATCCTATTCAGATCGGGCAACTATATCATATAGCTGCCATAGGAACGATCGGTCGAAAATTAAGTTTTTGTATGGAAAATTTTTATGTGTTACAAGATATCTTGACCAAACTCGGTATTTATTAGTTTTACTACGCTCCCCATATATAAGCAAAATCCTATTAAGATCGGACTACTATATCATATAGCTGCCATAGGAAAGATCGGTCGAAAATTAAGTTTTTGTATGGAAAATTTTTATGTGTTTCAAGATATCTTGACCAAACTCGGTATTTATTAGTTTTACTACGCTCCCCATATATAAGCAAAATCCTATTAAATGACAACTATATCATATAGCTGCCATAGGAACGATCGGTCGAAAATTATGCTGTTGTATGGAATTTTTTTTGTTTTTCAAGATATCTTGACCAAACTCGGCATTTATTAGTTTTACTATGCTCCCTCCACTTATGCAAAATCTTATTCACATCGGGCTACTATATCATATAGCTGCCATAGGAACGATCGGTCGAAAATTAAGTTTTTGTACGGAAACCTGTTTTGTTTTTCATGATATCTTAACCATACTCGGAATTAACTATTTTCCCTGTGCTTCTTAGATACGGGCAAAGCACTATAAGCATTTTGAAAAGGTTGGGTCTGCAAGGGTATTAAATCTTCGGTGTGCCGAAGATAGCACTTCTTTCTCGTTCTGTTTTTTATACGTTTTTTTTTTTTGATTTTGCCAATATTCCGAATGCTAATGTCTAGGAATATAGACGCCTAAATGGTATCACAGATAAATGCGCGATCCACACAGCTGTGCAGCACGCACATTGGCATAACTTAGGCCTATAACAAATATATATATATATTAGATGCAAATAGAACTAGAAACTATACCATTATACATATATATGGGGTGCTTTTTTTTTGGGGGGGGGGGGGGACTGGAGCTTTGTTTTTGTAAATTTGATGGGGGCTTTAATTCTGCCACCAGAGGGCGCTCGTGTTCCAGATCCACGCGCCCGACCCTGATCAACGATGCTGCTGCGGATTGACCGGCCCGAATGCCTGCATGCTGTAGTATCGCTCGCTATCCTCCTTGAGGACACTGGTCACATGATGGAACTGGCACGGATGCGATATCTGTGACTTGGGCGGCAGCGGAGCCGGCTTGACGCGCTTCTGTTTCTTCTGTTTGCGTCCGGGCGCCGACAGTGCAATGTTCTCGGGATCGCTGACCAAGCGCTCCACATGCTGCCAGAGTTCGCGTGCCGCATCCGTCGAATCGAAACTGAAGCCAATCATTTGCTGATGATTGCTCGACAGGCACATGGTGTGAAACGAGGGGCCCGCTATGCGATAATTCGACAGATTATCGACACGATCCGACCACAACGCAAAGCACGACCCGCGCTCGGCCAGCACCAATGTGAGCCTGGGCATGGCTCGCGCCCTAGCATTGCCCTTGTCGTGGAGTATCACGGGTATGCCGGTGAATACCAGACGCCAGTCGCCATCGTTGCCGGTGCCCTCATAAAGATTGGCCAGAGCGCCGCTGACATAGATCTCGGTGCCCAGGCCGGCAAAGAAGCTCTCCACCTGGCCGCGCTCATACTCCGACAGATTCGTATTGCTGCTCGTGTCCGTGCTGATGGTGTCCGCATCGATATCGGATGCATTGTACAGCGATGTGGTGCCATGGGCGCTGCTGCGCTGTGCCGACGATTGCGAGTGTGCCGACCAATCCGGATGCAGTATCAGCTCGTCCCGCTGCTCCGAGGAGGCGGTGCCCTCACTGGACTCCGACGGTGGCGCCGAGTCGCTAACCGAGCCCAAACGGCGACGTGTCTGCTGCAGCTGATGTGACATCTGCAATGACAACGAAAACAAAACACAAAATCCCTAATTAGATTTCGGTGCAAAGTGTAAAAGCTTTTCAATTGTATATGAGATATATTAGGGAAAAGGGGGGCAGGGGGGGGGGGGGGTAGCTTAGAGTAGGTCTGAGTTGGTCACTTGGCACATTGCATGACGCTAATGCAATCGGGTATAAAATACCCTGTTCCCATTGAGAATGTGTCGAAAGGGTATATTGGCATTGTGTGGATGTATGTAACAGGCAGAATGAAACAACTATCCGCCGGAATCTTAAGGATCTAGTTAGTGAAATCGTATTAAATATAATTTCACGTAAATCATAGGCAGAATGAGCTTATCTTTTTTATCGATATCTCACCTAATTTTCTTAGAATCGATTAAAATCCATTTTCAAACAAGATTTCGTAGGCAAGTTCTGTAGAGCTGGAGACACTTAAATTGCTTGGCGGAATTTGGTATTGTTGATATATCCCCCAATCGATATATACAGTCGATAAATATCGATTTAAAATAGTACTTTCTAAGAAAAACTTGGCACTTTGGCACTGTTATAGTATTTTGTGTTCGATATCCGACCCCTCTTTTCCACAATCGTCGATCAATATCGAATAGTTCGGCGATTGTAACAGCCAGAGGGAAAATAAATTGATATATTATATTTCCTTGATTGTCGATAAATATCGATTAGGTCGAGGATTATATTTGCTATAGACACATTATTTAGCAAAGTTGTAGTATTTTGTGATCGATATTCCTTCCCTTCTCCTTAATTGTCGATAAATATCGATTAGCTCGATTAATTTGACAGAGTTGTAATATTTTTCGTTCAATAATTCTGCCCCTGATTTAATGAATTGTCGATAAATATCGATTTTGTCAATCTACATCTTATCGGTGCTTCGCGTAGGGTATCTGCTAGTCGCGCACACACTTACTGCTTGCTGTTGCAGTTGCGCTGCGCTCAAAGTTGGCTAACATAAATTCCCCGGCACGTGTTTTTGGCTTTTTGGCTGCGTTTTCTGCACTTTAGTCACAGCTTTTGCAGTTTGTTTACTTCTGTTTGGGGCTTGCGGTCGCTCATCTGGTTAGCTCAACTGGAAATTATACACAATCAATTTCCGCTTCAAGAGCCGTAAGCAAGCTCTCTGTGAAATGTGCTCGGCAAACAGTTGGCAAAATTATTGAAGCCAATTGAAAATTGATTTATTAATATGTTAGGCAATCAGTGAGAATTTATTTAAGAGCATAAATCGAATTTCTTTGTGCATGAATGTTGTGTAAATTCGTTACATAAGATAATTCGGAATGCCAGACATTTACTTTGCCGGCACAACTCGGCGTATGCGCAATATTATGCACAGCCAAGTCAAAAGCCATAAAAATGCAGCTATCAAGACTTTTGTTATTCAATCGAAACAATTTAAATACTTGTTACACAGAAAAAGCACCCAAGAGATTTTTGAAAAGTACTTTATCAATAAATGCAAGTTAATTTTAGCTGCAAAATGCAAACTGGGAAAAGTCACTTCAAGCTGAAACGAACAATAGTTATACTAAAAATACTTGAATAAATTGGCTTTTTGTTAATTAAAAGTGCAATTTAAATTTCAATTATTGTTGAAAAGTTTCCCTTTTTTTAGTCCGTTTCGGATGTGTAATAAAACCACACTCACTTGAAGAGCAGAGCTTAAATGGAATGAATTAAACAAAAAAATTGGTCTTAATATTAAATGTGTAAGAACTTTTACAATACCCTTAAAGAGGATATTATAGTTTTATTATGAAATGTGTAAGGCATGGAAGGAGACATCTTCGACCCTTATAAAGTATATATATATTCTAGATCAACATCAACAGGCGAATAATATAACTATGTCCGTCTCTTTATCTGTCCATCTGTCTGTTTCTATGTGAACTAGTCTCTCAATTTTAAAGCTATCGAAAAAAGGGGTTCTTTAATGGCCAAATATTCTGTTTACCGAGTTATCATTCATCAAACTCAGCATTTACGAGCTTCACTATTCTCACATATCTGCAAAAGGCAAATGTCTACAAGGGTATTAAATCTTCGGCGTGCTGAAGTAATCCTAACTTTGTCGTTGTTATCTAAAGTTTAATTCAAGTCGACTTTTTAAGAAACTCTTATGGTTAAGGCTGACAAAATATTTATGTCAATAGAACAGTTTTAATTATCATTATTAACACCCAATAAATTGTGATTATTTATTATACATTTTTGCTCTGTGATTAAGAAACTAATAACACTTGCATATAAACTAAAAATTGCTTCGGAGTTTGAACCGGCGACCTAAATCCTTACAATTTTCCTATAAGCTCTCATGCCGTTGTTGTTTTAAGCCCTGCCACAAATTAAACGCCGCTCTATTTCGTTTCAGTTAAATTATTTTACGCACACACATCAGATCAATTTTCAGCTGCAATGCAAACAAGATCGAATGAAATTGAATACCTGATGGCCGCAACAAATTGCCTACACTCAACAGCCGAATTGCTAATGGATGAAAATGTGGAAATTTGCTGCAAATATGCAGCGAACCGAAAATCCCACAAAACCCCGAGACTGAGTGTGGCACGTGGACAGGGGCACGTTTTAATTAACGCCGCAAATTGCTGGTCACGATGTAATTAAATTATTTAAATTGCTAATTTCGCACAGAAAGTGGCAAAAAACAAAACAAAAAATTCATGCGCTAAAAAGGAAAGTGCGAAATAAAGTTGAAAACTTCAAGTTAAAGCCACGCTGAAAGTATAAATAATAATAATAATAATACCACAAATAAATAAACCAAAGAGAAGAAAGAAATGCGCAACATTTCGACACATTTGCACGGAGAACTGGATAAAAGGGCGCCCGGGTAGGGACACGCCGGAAGTTGTGTATCTGGCATCCGGCGTGGCGGCGGAGACAGGGGCAGAGAGAGATGGTGAGAGAGGGGGCGGGGGAGGGAGGACAATCGTAGCTGTGACACACTTTTAGGCCAAGTTTTCGGCAAAGTTTGGGCGTAAAGTTTACACGAGGAGTTGCAACATTAACGCGCTTATCTATAATTTACACGCACAACCAGAAGGAAGCTTTGAAGGGGGAGGGAGAGGGGGAAGGGGGCCTGATTCTTGGATGCACATTGACATTGCCATTACTTGTGTGTGGCAAGTCGAGCTGCTGCCCAGCGTCTGTCCCCAAAAAAAATAAAAACAGGCTACAAAAAAGAAGAGCATACAAAAAAGTCTCCTGCCGTCTAAGATTAATTGGCTCGCTTTGCCGGGCCTCGTTCCAGGCAAATATATTTAGTGCCGAGATTTATGTTGCTTCATTACATCCCCCGCCCCCCCCGCATACGCACCCTTGTGGCAGTGACAGCGCCCCGGGTCGTGTCTAGCTGTGTCTTTGGCCAGTTGTACGAACATTTGGTCTAACAATTAAACAAGTTTTGCCGCCCGGGATGCGAGCCTGACGTTTTTATTGTTGTGGCAGCCAGCGACCAAAATGAATATTTAATGCGCCGCAACAGTGTCTGAGTGCCAGCCCGAACCAGCCCCCCTCCCCCCTCCCATTGGCCTTTGATGGCATCGATATAACGGCAAGTTCAATGTCAAGCCAGCTAATGGCCCAGCCTGGGCCACGCGGCGTATGCGCAATATTTTTGCTGCTCTGATGTCGGCTTTATTTATAGCGCTCGTGCGTAGCCAATAATCGAAATTCAAGAACGATTGTTATTTATGCTCATTAGAACTGAATAGCTGCATATATATAGTTATATATTTCTTGATTAGCTACTCGTTTAGCTGATTAATCAGCAGAGAGTTTGGTAAGCAATGAGTTCTAATTGGAATTTATATAGTGTGTGTTGCCGACTGTTCAAATAACAAAGATATTTCAATTTACAGAATATATAGAAGTTTTTTCATATTCATATCTGATTAATCAACAAGGAGTTTGGTATAAGTAATGAGTTCTCATTGGAATTTACAGAGTATATAGAAGTTTTATTCATATTCATATCTAATTAATCAACAAACAGTTTCGGTGTAAGTAATGAGTTCTCATTGAAATTTACAGGGTATAAAGAAGTTATATTCATATTAAATCTGATTACTCAAGAGAAAAATCTAGTGTGAATAATGAATTCTAATTGGAATTTATTCAGTGTGGCAATTTAAAGGGTATATAGCATTATATTAAAATCTGATTAATCAGCAGTCAGTTTGAGTGAAAGTAATGAGTTCTAATTGGAATTTATATAGTGTGTGTAGGCTGTCATTTTAGCAACAAAGACATGTTTATTTACAGGGTATATGGAAGTTTTGTGCATTTTAAAATCTGCATTCGACGTTCATTTGATTTTTCTCCTAAATCTGACATATAAAAGCACAATTTGGCTTGTGCTCTCGGCAGTGCAATCGGTTTTTGCTTTCTTCTTTGTATCGCATTCGTAAAGGTTTTACGGGCTGTGCTACTTTGCAAGAGTCTACATGGAACATCAAATTATACTTTAAATAAAAAACAAATCTAACATACAAAATGTAATATTATTTTTGTTTTTTTTTATAACAGCATTTAAAGATATTTGACAAAGATTTGAAACAAATTTCGATAACAAAAACCAGCAGCATTTCCATTATTTAGGTCTAACTGTCCACTCGTTGGTTTATCAGCATTTCGAGGAACCGTCAAGATTTCATATTTGATTTGACAAAATGCTTGGAATTGACAGCTCAAGGAGCAGCAACAATGCCAACAATTTAACAACAACGACAAGAGAATCAACAAATTGTGCTGTGAAAAGCAAAAGAGAAATTCTTTTATTTTGATTGTTGTTGTGGCTATTGTGTGTGAGGCAGGTCAGTGAAATGTTGGGCATGTCAGAGCCAGAAAGACAAACAGAAAACAAAAATCAAACAAATTGAGTGGGCAGCACATACACTCGCACGCACACACACACACACACACAACAAACACAATTTCCCAATTAGAAACCGTTGCAAAG